CCTGAAACGCTGGGTCCTGGGATGGACTGTAGATGGCGGCGTGGCCTGAAACGCTGGGTCCTGGGATGGACTGTAGATGGCGGCGTGGCCTGAAACGCTGGGTCCTGGGATGGACTGTAGATGGCGGCGTGGCCTGAAACGCTGGGTCCTGGGATGGACTGTAGATGGCGGCGTGGCCTGAAACGCTGGGTCCTGGGATGGACTGTAGATGGCGGCGTGGCCTGAAACGCTGGGTCCTGGGATGGACTGTAGATGGCGGCGTGGCCTGAAACGCTGGGTCCTGGGATGGACTGTAGATGGCGGCGTGGCCTGAAACGCTGGGTCCTGGGATGGACTGTAGATGGCGGCGTGGCCTGAAACGCTGGGTCCTGGGATGGACTGTAGGTGGCGGCATGGCCTGAAAGGCTGGGTCCTGGGATGGACTGTAGATGGCGGCGTGGCCTGGCCCCTCTCCTGTCCCCACTGTGGAGGAGGCTTTTTGTGTTGTCTGAACAGCTCCACATCATCACATGATTTACCCTGTGTGTGCGTGCTCACACACTTCTACCACAGTGTGTGGAGACATCAGAGATCAGAGGACACTTGCAAAAGTCAGTTCTCTTTCCACACGTGGAACTCAGGGATTGAACTCCAATCGTCAGGTTTGGCGTTGAATCCTGTTCAGCCATCTCACCAACCCTGAGCCCCACTTTATTAAAGTTGGAAGGGTGTTACTGGAACATACTCGTGAATCTGCCCACCACCCGCTGCCTGGCAGGTATCCTGCTGGCCACACTGAAAAAAAAAATCTTCATCACTATGCTCAGTGAAACTCTTCCTCCGTGCGTCTCAGTTGGGTGTTGCTAAGAGTCCACATGGCTCTGGGCGTGCTGACTGTCAGGTCTGCTTGGTGACCCTTCTCCAACCAGGCCTGGCCCAGGAGTTGACTGGTAGCTGTTAGGACAGGCAGTCCCCAGTGAGGGTTGTGCTGCAGGCCTAGGTGGGCACACAGGGTAAGCCTCCTGCGCCTGAGGAAGGCCTCTGTCTCATGCCCAGAGTGTCGCTAGGACTACCTAACCTACTGGATGTCAAGGTTCCGTGTGACTCCATTAAGGCTCCTCAAGTCACAGGCTCTGCCTCTGCCGTGTTCTCGCCATGCAGGCGTAACGAGGGGGCGCTCCTATCTCCAGGATGGCAGTAGTAGGGATGAGGAGCAGTTAATGGACTTGAGCTCTCCAGAATGGAGCTTTGGTGAGCTTCCCTTCTTCCAGGCCAGCAGGCACTTTGTCAGTCCTGGCCTGGCCTCAGTATATTGTTTCTTCATGAATGGTTTTGTTGACATATTTGCTGTCCAGTTTCTCCATTTAAAGAGCACAAGTCAGTGGTTCTGAGTATACATACACCTACAATCTAGTTTATGCTAGTTTTTCCTCATAGTTTTTTTTTTTTTTTTTTTTTTTTTTTTTTGGTAGGCAGGGTCTTAGGTTACCCAGGCTGATGTTGAACTCATTATGCAGTGAAAACTAATTTTAAACATCTAGATCCTCCTTCCTCAGCCTCTCACGTGCTCACATTACTGGCATGCACCATTGTGCCTGGCTCAGTTTTAAAACGTTAAGGAAAAAAAAAAAAAAAAAACTCAGAAGGAAGCTGTCCCCTTAAGCAGTTACTCCCAGTTCCTCTAGTTCCTTAAAATTCTGTCAGTGTGGACGTGACAGAAGGTCTGTTGTGGACCCTTGATAGCGTCTCGTCACTGCTATGGGAAACAGCCTCCTGTGTAGAGAGTTCACCAAGCCCAACTTGTCGTCGTCGCTTCACAGCACGTGGTCTTCAGCCGGAAATCAGCAAAGTCATGATTAATGTGGCGGTTACCCCTTGAGATTATTCCAGTCCTAGGTATATGAAGATGAGGAAACCTGCCTGCCTCACCCCTCCTGTCTGTCTGTCTGTCTGTCTGTCTGTCTGTCTGTCTGTGTTGCTGTCGGCTGGTGAGTCCCCTCTGCAGTGAATTTTTCTGTGACAGGTGTTTGGTTGGTCTGTGAGACTGCCATTGCGTCAGGAAGTGTCGGAAAGGGTCCCCTGAGGTCTGCACATGTGTTTCTTGTGAAGCCCTACCCACTTGTGGGGTAACACCCCCAGCACCTGCACTGACCCTGGACCTGCCTGGCCCTTCCCAGCCTGCCTTGAGTGACCTTGTGCCTCCTTCTCCCTGGACTTCCTTTGGCTTTGATGGAATAGGGCCAAGGGGTGGGAATGATTTTATTTTATCAATCCTAGACTGGCAGTCTCCTGCCTCAGGGGCTGGAACCTTGTGACCACATGGTTTGGCAACATGTCTGTCAGTGAGCTAGCATTTGTGAGCATTCACAACTAAGGGGTAAAATTCTGTGGTAGGTGGTTTCCTGTGTGCTCTTAGTAACCTAGGAAGATTTGAAAGAATAGTCTTTTTTGTTTTGCTTTGTTTTTCAAGACTGGGTTTCTCTGTGTAGCTTTGGAGGCTGACTTGGAACTTGCTCTGTAGAACCAGGCTGGCCTCGAACTCACAGAGATCCGCCTGCCTCTGCTGGGATTAAAGGCATGCGCCACCAACGCCCAGCTAAGAATAGTTTTTTAAAATGTATTATTTTTTTTAGATTTTTAAGTTTTATGTGTGTGGTATTTGTTCTCTATATATGTCTATCTAGCATCCACATGTGCCTAGTGCCTGAGGAGGCCAGAAGAGGGCATTGGGTCCCCAGGAACTGAAGTTTGCAGACAATTGTGAGCTGCCATGTGGGTGCCAGGAATTGAACCCAAGCCCTCTGGAAGAGCAAGTAGTCTAAACTCCCGAGTTATCTGCAGCCCTGGCAGTCTTTATTGTGAGAACACGTAGCCACAAGTGTATTGTTGTTGTGTGGTTATCTCCTTTCTGGATAGCAGCAGGTGGGCTCTGTACAGGTTAGAGCAAGTGGACCACGGCTGGGCCAGGGAGCTGACTGGCTGGGCCTAGATGGTTGGGAGAATCCGCTGTGCAAGGAGGACACATAGTCAGAGACCCTGGAGAATGAGGAGGGGACAGCTGCTGCTGGGACAGAGCCACCGAGGTAGACTGAAGCTTAGCGTGTTTTGGAAACAGAACAAGGGTGTGTGTCCAGGGTGAGTGAAGAATGCAGCATGGAGAGGGCAACAAGAGTGGCTAGGTTTCCAGGCAGTGCTTGAGAGCAGCTGGAGGGGGGGGGGGGGCTCTGACTATCTCTTCAGAAAGCTCTGGCTGGCTGGCTGGCTTTGTTGGAGAGGTCTTCTCCCTAGGACCAGGACCAGGCTCAGGTTGCAAATCAGAGGGTCTTGGGGAATAATGAGGTCTGTGCAAGAGGAAACCAGTTAGGCAGAGAGGGTCTGGTGCCTGTTTGCCAAGCTGTAAGCACTCCTGGCTCTGTCTTAGCTTCATCCAGTGTGGCCTGGGGTAGCAGG